GAAAAGGGGGAAAGAAGAATATTTGTATTTCACTATTTATAAAGCATGCTCATAATTGCATGTCTGATCCTGGTACCAGCTCTATAAAATAAGCCAAACAGGGCTGGGGATTTAGCTCAGTGGTGCCTCGCCTGCCTGGCAAGCCCTAAGATCCTGAGTTCGATCCCCAGTACCTAAATAAATAAAGCCATACAGATACTTATTTCTATTTTTCAGATAAAGGACTAGTGCCAGACTTAGAAAAGTAAAGTGACTTTTCCAGAATCAGAGTTACAAAATGAAAGATTCAGACTTCTAACAGAAATCTTCAATCTCCATATTCTGGAGCTTTCTAATGTATATTAGAGTAATAAAGAGCTGTAATAAGCTATAAATATTAGAAGTGGCTAATTATTTACATAACTTGATTATTATTAGGATCCAAGTTCTAAAATATAAAGCTGTAGTATAGTAGGCAAAGTAATGGTTCCACAAAGATGTCTATTTTCTAATCCCCAGAAGCAGTATATGCTAGATTATGTAGCATAGAGGAATTAAGTTAATAATCAGGTCATCCTGGATTATTAAGGTGGGTCCAATATAAGAGATTTTTGTTGTTGTTTTGTTTGTTTGGGTTTTTTGTTGCTGTTGTTGTTGTAGAGACAAGGTCTATATGTAGCCCAGGCAGGCCTTGAACTCCTGGTGACCCTCCTGCCTCATCCTCCCAAGTGCTGGGTTATAGGTGTACACCAACACACCTGGCCAATCTTTTGTTTTATTTTGTTTTGTTTGGGTTTTTTGTTTTTTTGGAGGTGGGGGTGTGTGTTTTGGGTTTTTTACAATGTAAGAGTCTTTAAAGCAATTCCTGAGGGATTGCTGATGGGAAAATGAGACTATGAGAAGGAGGTATGACGATAGTAGTCAGAGTCTATGGAGTGAGAAGGACTCAACCTACCCTTTCTAGCTTTGAAGGTACAGAAAGGAACTGTAAACCAAGGAATGCAATCTTTCTCCAAAAGCCAGAAAAGGTAAAGAAGGTGGTTCTCAGAGCCTCCAGAAACGAATATAGCCCTGCAAACACCTTGATTTTAGTTAAAGTGAGGCCTCTTTTAGGACTTCAGAACTATAAAACTAAGACAGTAAATTTGTGTTGTTTTAAGCCACTGAATGTGTGGCAATTTGTTGTGACAGCCACAGTGAATAATATTCTTAGAAAGTGTTCAGTGTAAGGAGACCGATATGCCTATCCATGGCTAAACTCCAAACTCATTTCTACTGTCAGCAGTGGAAAGCCATGGAATGTTCCTGAGCATGAGTGTAAAACATTATTTTGAAGTTTGTTCATTAGAGAGAAGAGAGATTGGAGGGAGAAAAATGAAGAAAGATTCTGTATCATTAGTGCTAGGAATATTTGAAACATTTAGGGTAACACAGCGCAGTTAAGTCTGGCTTGTAGAAGACTATGGATGTCTCCACTTAGCTCCGACTCACTAAAAAATCACATTGACATTGCAACATTCACCTCCTTCCCATATCCTGTGAAAAATAAAGAAAAGTCTTCACAACTGTTTTGGCCTTGGCAGTCTCTTTATACTCTTCATGTGCTTTTCTGTCACCAGTAACCATAGCCAAGTTTAAATACAAGGACTGAAAGGTTTCTAAATCAACCTGAGTCTTATTTGTAAAAGTTGTATTTATACTAGCAACTGCTTTTTCAATGCATAATTTTTAAAAACTTTATTGATCTCCCCCACCCCTCACCCCTGTACTGCAGGTTGAACCAAGGGTTCAACTTCACTGTGATCTACATTCTCATTCCTTTTGGGTGTGTGTGAGTGTGTGTGTGTGTGTTGTTTTGAAATAGGGTCTCGGTAAGTTGCCCAAGCTGGGCTCAAACTTTGGATCTTCCTGTTTCAACCTCCCAAAGTGTTGGGATTACATGTGTGTACCACCACACTTGACTTAATTGATCTCTTTATAGGGAGAAGTCTGCCTGAGGTTTTCAATAAAGAATAGTTGAGCTTATCAATAAAAGCCCTGGAGTCAACTGAAAGGAGTACTAGTTTTACTCATTTTACACCAGTTTATATTGTTGCCAATATTATTACTGTTACTTTTTTAAACCACAAGTCTTCAGTTAGGTCCAATATGTATGTAAAAATAGTACGTTGCATTTAAAACATTAAGAATCCTGTTAATTTTATCTGGTCACTAATTTTTTATTAAGGTTCAAAAGTTTTGTTTTTTCCTCAAGGCTTTTCTGAGACCTGTGCTACAACACAAAAGGGTAGTGCACAGGAGAGACCCCTCCCTTGATTTTTTCTTAAGATGAAGTGTTTGTTTATATTTATAATATTTATTTAGGAGACCATTTATTAAAAACAAGCTGTTCACTGTACTGTACACTTGAAAAGTACCAATAATCTCAGTAAGAGATAAAAAAAGCAAGCTGGTCATAGCAAACACTAATTTTAAAATCAAAAGGATGATTGACAGTACAGTCTTAAAAAAACCTTAATATAAAATTTATTTCTGTAGTACATTTTAATCAAAAGGTATTCTAATGCATATGTGTGTGCCAATGATAGCATTTGATTAAATAGGGGTGGCAGGAGCTTATACGGTTGTACAAACCTGGCAACACAAATTAATGCTTCATTGATCTCCATTATGCTCAGATTTGGCCCAAATGTTTTGATTGTTTAAGCTTTTAAATGTAGCTTTAAAATATATTTTAAAAATAAAATTCAGTCTAAATTATAGAATCCCTGAGGAAATTGGTTTGAGAAAACCTTCATTGAATAATTTAGTTGGCAACGTTGAAAACGGTTGTTTTTAGGTGGGTTTACTTTTTATTTTTAGACTTGAAGCATTTGGCAGAGCTTGCTTTGTTTTTTGTGTTTTTTTTTTTTTTTTTTTTTTTTTTTTTTT